TGCAAATTACAGTCGATGTTTTTAACGACGAGGATAAGCTTTTGTTCTGTGTTTTTGTTTGTTATAATTAGCACTGCAGTAATAGGTAAATTTAATTACATATTGGTTTTTACGTGTTTGTATCGATAGTTAATTATCGTTTGAAGCTTTTTAAATGGTTAATATTATTGGGTTTTAGCAATACTAGACTTTACTAGGCAATAAAAAACATTAAGTAGCGTTCATTAAAATAAGCGTTCGGCATTTAACGTTTTATGTAAAGAGTGAAATTAAAGATAAAGGATTATACTATATCCTTATTGTAGCACATTTTTAGACAACTTTTTTATTTTTAAGATTCTGATGGTTAAACATTAACAAAATATTCCATATGTTTGGACAAAATTTTCTCGAAAATAAAGACATAATTTAAAATTCCGTTACTATACGGAAATAGATTGAAGTTTTGTGATTACAGTGATATATAATTTATATGGTTTTGTAACAAATTGTTCGCTATTTTATGGCAAATGCTTAAGCTCTGCAAACCTTAATCAAGCCTTAATTAAAGCACGTGTGTTTGGAACTTTGTGTGTGATTCATAGACTTAAAATAAAATATAGACTACACTATTTACATCTCAACGCGGACAGACAATATTTTTTGTACACATGTTTACTTCTGGGTACAGTCGACCGAGCCTTCCTCATCCAGCCTATGTTGTCACGTCTTTAATATTATCAATATTTTTTTTCTTGTTATACACATATATTGAGATATTAATACTACAGTTTAATAAAGTAGGTTTTAATATTCCAGAGATGTATTAAATAGTCCTTATACTACTAAATTATAAGTCGGATACTGTTTAAAAAGGATAAGTTCTTTACAATATGACAACACCGATTAGAGGCGAGGGAGCCTATTCATTCATTTATTACCTTGTAGTACGTGTCGCACGTGTGCGGTAAAGCTTTGTTGCCGCTATCTCCCCGGCTGTATTAACGCATTTTCTTAGCTTGTAGTGCTTAAGTGTTTATTTTATTGACTTTTTCTGTTCAAGAACTATAAAATATGGTTCGCCAGTGCCAAATTTGCAAGAAATTTGACTTAAATAATCCATTTAAGTCTTGAAACGACTTTTGACCGGTAGGCAACTCTCAATTTACCCATTGGGAGTCAGTGGCGTTGTTGTAGAAAGGCGCTTATTTAGATAATATTTTAGTAAAATGTAAAATCTGAATTTTTTCTCTTACATTACATTATTTACTTACTTACATTGTAACAAAATCATAATTATAACCCTGTTAATAATTAATAATGTTTTTATTAAAAATATATTCCGGTTTATTCTAAAATTATCTTCAGAATCTAAAATAACATACAAGAATTTTAAAATGATATTACATTATGAAACAATATTTTTTAATATACCGGGTCGTCTCAAAAGTGGCTCGCCCCTTATAATTTTTTTATTTTTTCAGATAAAAAACAGATTTGTATGTTAGTAGGTATATGACATAAATTAGATTTATTGGACGTATTCAATTGTTTTTGGTCTCTTCCTGTTTCACCGAAATGATTACATCTTTTGATTTTTAAAGGCACCCTCGGTATATTGTTACTTTATTCGATAAAAAATGATACTCTGAATAATACAAATCCTATTTTAAATTTCAATCCAGGGTGCCATGGTGTTGTTAAAAACACTAAGTTTTAATCAAGGAGCCTTGGAAAAATAGTTTTGATCGTCTAATGGGTTTCGTGTCTTGTCTAGGCCGGTTAAAAGATGTACAAATCGTATTTTTAATCATACATATGTCATATATTAGCATATTTGGAAAAAGCATTTTTTTATGAATATATTGATACCACACACTTGGTATTTCGAGTCAAATTGTCGTTATGAACCGCGTGTTACAATTACAATTAAACCATATGCGAGAATGTCAAAAGTTGACATATGATGTGTCATTCTATTCAGAGTGTCATTTTCTATCGAATAAAGTAGAAATATACCAAGGGTGCCGTTTAAAAATTAAATGTTATAGTCATTTCCGGTGAAACAGGAAGTGACCAAAACAATTGAATGCGTCAATCAATCCTAATTTATGTCATGTACTAACATACTAAATCTTGTTTTTTTATTTGAAAATATAAAAAATTATGGGGATGAGCCACTTTGGGACGCACCCGGTATAATAAAGACAGTACCGAGTTAAATAAATGTAGTTTTCATTTTATCCACTTCCTATCACCTTCCTTGCTTTAATGGAACAGATTTATGTTTTCTCTAATTTACATAAGACATCACTTAACCAGAAAAAAAATTACAACAATCATATTTTTTTTTCTCTCCCTGTCGCCGATTCTATTATATCTGTGGAATAGATCCTGTTTTGATTAATATTAGGGGTTGTAAATGTTTGACTAAAATTAATAATTTATTATTAATTTCAAAAATTACGTCATTTCGATTATAAAATTTCTTCTATAACGTGTATTTTATTATTTTTATCCTTTTTGGACTCTAAGACGTTTTTTCTAAACTTTTATTTAAAAAACCTGTCCTAAATCTTAATAAAATATAAAAAAGTTTAAATACGATATATTTTTAATTTAATTATAGCTTCATTAAAATAAAAAAAATACCCGGCTATGATACGGAGCGTTCAGGTGTACTTGAGAAACGAAAGACAGTGTTGTGTTTCTCGGCAGAGTCGTCAGGGAACGACCGTTACGACAGAGACAACCTATCTATCGCTCGTGTCGCACTCGTTATAACCAAAAACAATAACACAACAATAACAAGACAGTGTCTGACCGCATGTTCCAGCTATTTATGAATGAGATGCTTAGTCTATATTTTATTTTAAGTCTATGGTGTGATTTAACATGACAGGATCGGGCTAAACCTTAGGCAGATTTCTGAAATATAATATACAGGGTGTCATCGAAATGGTTTAAAAAAAATGAGGGGTGATAGTACTCCTAAAAATAGTAAAAAAAGTTCCTATAAGTATAGGGCGGAAAATGCATATTAAGGGAGTTAAGGGCACTGAAAAGGTGAATTTAAAAAACGGTTGTTTTGAAATTGTACGCTTAAAGAACGAGATAAAATTTCGAAAAAAAATCCTCTGCCATAAATTTTGACCCTAAATCAAATGGTGATACTTAAAAATTATTTGGAAAAGCGGAACGGGTAGTTTTTGCAAGGGTGGGGGGCTGTTTCGCGAATAACTTTTTTGAGGTTATTTTTTTTGCAACGTGGGTTCATTTTTTGAAAACTACATACTTTTTCCTACAAAAAAGGTACTCTTGTTGCACATCGCCTAGAGCGATGGTTTTCGAGAAAATTGAACGAAAATAGTTTGCTCTGATGGGTTCCTTACTGGTTAATCAAAATAAACTTATGAAAGTTATGGCGGTTCAAAAGTAACCAAGTAATTATCAAATAATTAATTGAAAAATCAAAATTTCATGATTTTTAAAACATCTTATTGCTTTAAAAAACGAAATAATCCAATTACCAAAATTCCTTATTAAAATAACGCATTCCTTAATTCATTCATAGTAAATGTTCAAAGTGACCACCATTCATTTCAATGCAGACATCTAATCTTCTTCTCCACCATTTGCGTACCCTGTGGAACATCCTTGGTGTTGGCCGAATTTGATTGGAACAGTCAATAATGCGTTGCCGTAGTTGCTCTTCAGTATTCTGAGTAAACCAAATATTATTTATTACTCGAATCCGTCTGCCTAGTTCGCAAGCACGTATCGAGTATTTCTCTAGGGCCAGTTCATGGCTATCCAATTAGGAACGCAGAGCATAACATGTATCTGCCAACCCCTCACTCTGAGTTAGTAAAGAGTTCCATATTGTACAATGCAAAAAAAATGCACAATCATCTGCCATCTGAAATTAATTCCATTTCATCCTTTCCTGCATTTCGCAGAGCCTTGAGATCATACTTACTGGAGAAAGCCTTTTACGCGGTTAACGATTTTTTTATTAATATCAAGGGTTCTAAATTTAACACACATTTACTAAATTTAAGAAATGATTTTGTTTTCTATCCATTTAAATTTAGTATTGACATTATATACAGTTGTTTATTTACATGTATGTTTATATTTTATTTATATTTAATTAAATAAATTTTTGACAATGTACAATTTCTATAATTGTATAAAGTATTGTTTTAGTTTTGTATGTTTGCTGTTAGTTTTATATGTTTTTCTATTGTTAAGTGAAGTTTTGTATGTTTTTTATATTCTTTTTTTTAAGCTTTGTCAACAAAATTGTAAAATTTTTTTTATGACAATAAAGCAATTTCTTTCTTTCTTTCTTTCTTTCTTTAAAACCCAAAAAGTTTATTTCATTTTTAAAGCAATAAGATGTTTTAAATATCATGAAATTTATGATTTTCCAATTAATTATTTAATAACTACATGGTTACTTTTGAACCGCCATAACTTTCATAAATTTATATTGATTAACTAGTTAGCAACCCATCAGGGTAAACTCTTTGTCTTCAATTTTCTCGAAAACCATCGCTCTGGGCGATTTGCAACAAGAATACCTTTTTTGTAGGAAACAGTATGTAGTTTTCAAAAAATAAACCCACGTTGCAAAAAAATAACCTCAAAAAAGTTATTCGCGAAACAACCCCCTACCCTTGCAAAAACTACCCTTTCCGCTTTTCCAAATAATTTTTAAGTAATAATTTAATTTTTTTACACCATTTCAATGACACCCTGTATATTTCTTTCGGCCACACACCCGCTTTACCCGACCCCTGAGAGCGATCCGAAAGTACAGCGTAATAGACTTTTAAGGCTGCTTGACTATCGGATAAGATGCTCTAAAAATCTTAGTTAGCGCGATTTAAATTTAGCTGCTCTAATATACAGGGTGGGATTTTCACGTCAATCTAAATAAATTTTTACCATTCTTATTATTTTAATAGAGCACTGCATTTGGCTATGTAAGTTAATTTTTTTCTTGTTTGTTTCAGGATAACTAAAAAAACATATCCTAATACAATGTAGTGAAACACTAAAGTGAATCATCTTCCACACTAGATAGAAAATTAAAATCATCAGGAATTGAACAGGAATTCGAGAAAATTTAGGAAGAAGACTGTCTAAAGGTGAACATGGATGATACAGATGGTGGACCAGGAAAAATTTTGAGGGCAAAGTCCTTGAAGCGGGGAAAGCCAGAGGAAAGAATCACTGACAGGGTAAGCTATTTAGCGTTTTTTTTTCGGAGAAGACCTGAATGAAGCTTTTTAAGCCCAGTCTATATGTTACGTTTTACCCGTCATTCTTTCTTGTTCAGTCAAAACGTATCAACTAAAATCTTGTGTATAGTCGAAAACAAAAAACAGACGTTTTACTTGAACCGAATTAAGACCGGCAAGACTGACAGGTAAAACTTTAGGTGTAGGTGAGGCTTTAGATCCGTAAGACTGTATCGATTCCGTACCGTCTGGAAGAGAGGCATTTCATTTCATATATTTTACAACTGTCTTAAATTTTTTGCAGTGTACGGTTGCACGTGATACCCTTGAGAGCCCGAAGCACTACGATCGAATAGTTCTGTACAATTTCGAGACGTAAACATAAATTGGCAATAAAGTATCTCTTGAACTTTCTCGGTTGTTTGTTTCTATCTTTGAGTAAAAAGGCTAAGGAAAAAGTGTAATATTACTTACATATATACAGGGTGTTTCAAAACAAATGCGAAAAACTTCAGGGGGTGATTCCTTGTTCAAAATAAAGGGTAGTTTGCATCATAAACGTTGGGTCAAAAGTCAACCATTAGGGAGATATTGCGGTACAAAGATGGCGGAAAAATAATGTTTTTATTTTTTATCTTGAAAACGAAAAGAGATAGACTAATAAAATTTTATGAAAGCATTACTGTTACGAAAACACACTTTCTGGTAATTTTTTCACTTTTTTAAAATGAGTGGAAGGGGTTGAAATAAACTACCCCTATCATTCTTGTTAACGAAATTTAAAGAAAAATCTTATCAAACACATGCAAAAAAATTAATTTGGATAGTTTAGTTTGTTTAGAAACTTTTTTATCTCTTGTATTTTTTGATAAAACTCACCGATTTGAAATTAAAATATAAAATGTAAAGTATTACATGTCAGGACAAAAAATATTTTCTGATAAAGAATCTAGTGGGCTGCTGTAATTTTTTAGGAAAAATCTAGTCGGCCGCTGTTACTTTAGGATGTTCCTAATATTATTTTATTTGACATTACTCTACTGCAATACGTTATTATCTAGATGATTATTATTATCGTTATTATCACTAGATTCTTAATCAAAAAATGTTTTTTGTCCTGACATGTAATGCTTTACATTTTATTTTTTAATTTCCAATCGGTGAGTTTTATCAAAAAAACACAAGAGGTAAAAAAGTTTCTAAACAAACTAGACTATCCAAATTAAAGCATTTGCATGTGTTTGATAAGATTTTTTCTTTAAATTTCGTTGACAAGAATGATAGGGGTAGTTTATTTCAACCCCTTCCACTCATTTTAAAAAAGTAAAAAAATTACCTGAAAGTGTGTTTTCATAACAGTAATGCTTCCATAAAATTTCATTAGTCTATCTCTTTTCGTTTTCAAGATAAAAAATAAAAACATTATTTTTCCGCCATCTTTGTACCGCGATATCTCCCTAATGGTTGACTTTTGAACCAACGTTTATAAAGCAAACTACCCTTTATTTTGAACAAGGAATCAGCCCCTAAAGTTTTTCGCATTTGTTTCGAAACACCCTGTATATTCATACGTTAGAGACGGAATTGACATCATGAGCCCCAAACCATTTTTGACTCTTTCGTTTGACGTTTCATTTGACGCATTTGAATTTGCTTAATCAATTACATTGTAATTTTGCTCTTTATGCATCCAGTGTAAGCTCTGCCTAATATACAGGATGGTCCAAACTGTATTCCGTAAACTTCGGCAGCATATTCTGCAGATAAAAATAAGTAAAAAAGTTTCGGAGATGCAGGTTGTAGAATTTTCATTTTTATTTCGATTTTTTCCAAATAATTCCTAAAGTAACGTTAATATTTGGATGAAAATTGGTGTCTGGAAGTTTTTCGACATGAGAAATTTAATTTTGATGTCAGTATGACTCTTATTTGTAGGGGGCGCCACCTACATGTGTTTAAACTGTTTTGAAGAGTAATAACTTCTCGTCCGAACCTGTATAGTGAAAAATATACATATCCCTGATTTTCTAAGTAAAAAAATGTTTCTTGGTAAAAATGGCTACGAGCAACCGTTCTCAAGATATTTTAGAATAGAAGTCAAAACATGTTATCATTGACAAAAAATAAACATGAGCAGATAATTATTTGACTGAAATAATAAATTTTGGAACTTTTTGTTTTTTAAAATTAATCTTAAATTTTTCTTCGAAAAAATGATAATAAAACAGTTTCTGTTGAACTTTTGCCACAAAAACATTTCAAATTTATGATTTCAGTCTAATAACTATCTAGTCAACATGTTTTATTTATGTCAATGATGACAGGTATTGATAAATTTTTTTAAGAGGCATTTTTTACGTAAAAAACGTCTTGAATGTAAATTTTTTTACTCAGTAGTTTTATACAGGTACAGACGAAAAGATATTACTCTTCAACACAGTTAAAAAATATGTAGGTGGTGCCCTCTATAAGTAGGAATCATAATGACATCAAAATCAAATTTATCATGTCAAAAAACTCCCAAACACCAATTTTCATCTAAATATTGACGTTATTTCAAAAATTATTTGAAAAAATCGAAATACAAATGAAACTTCGTCACCCGGTATCTCCGAAACGAAGCATTTTAGGACATACAGTTTGACAAATATAGGAAGAGACTTGGGGATGGCACCGGTCGCGCAAACGATAGAGAGAGAACGCATTCGGCGAAAGAGAGATGCAATTATGCTACGACAAATCTGATTAAAGCAAATTTGCGAGCTGTCCACTGCGCATCGAGGGGCGTCTCTTATTTTATATTTCTCACGTCTCTAGCTATACTTGTTAAGTTGTACATAGAGTAAACGCCACGAATGTTTGGGAGTGATTTGAAGTTAGAATCGACACGCGCGCTATCATTTTTACATTAAAAACGTAATTTTTTACCGCAGACGTAGGTTTTTAAAGCCCGGTCTAATCATCTGCCTGCGCTCCTCCTACTTATTTTAAAATGTTAGCGTGATTGACAAGGACGATACTATATCGCGTTTCTTTGATTGATTCGTTTTTGTGCGTCAGTCCATTGGTGTGCTTGCAGTGCGACCAATGGGGCATTCCATTTTATATTTATAACCAAATATATGTTTTGACAAGACTTTGACAGTCAAAAAACAAATTACAACAGATTATATATTGATTATTATATGACTTGAAACACCACGGCACTGGAATTTAAGTTTTATGTGACCTTGAACAGATTAGTTCACATGGTAGCGACCGATGAATCACTCCCAAACATTCGTGGCGTTTACTATACAAACTTTTTTACCTATTTTTATCTGCAAAATATGCTGCCTAAGTTTCCGGAATACAGTTCGGACCACCCTATATATTCATACGTTAGAGATGGAATTGACATTATGTGTTCCCATCTTTGACTCTTACTTTTGACGTTTCATTTGACACATTTGAATTTGATTAATAAATTATATTGTAATTTTGCCCTTTATGCGTCCCAAGTAAGCTCTGCCTAATATACAGGGTGGTCCGAATTGGATTCGGTAAATTTCAGCAGCATATTCAGCAGATAAAAATAAGTAAAAAAGTTTGTCCTAAAATGCTTCGTTTAGGCGATACAGGGTGTAGAAGTTTCATTTTTATTACGATTTTTTCAAAATAATTTCTGAAGTAATACCGATACTTGGATGAAAACAGGTGTCTGGGTGTTTTTGACATGGGCAATTTGAATTTTTGATATCGGTATGACTCCTTCTTGTAGGGGACACCTCGTACATGTTTTTGAACTGTTGAAGAGTAACAACTTTTCGATCGTACCTGTATTAAACTACTGAGTGAAAAAATATATAGTTTCGATAAAAATTATAATCTTGAATACATGGATAGTATTATACTCATTAATCTTAATTAATTGATTCAAAGACTGTAATCAAAAAATTCTGAAAAAATTTGCTCAATATCAATGATTTTGGTGACTTTTTAAGATTTATTGATATTTAGCAGATTTTTTTAGTATTTTTAGATAACTAGAGTTTTGCAAGTCCTGTTCTATGTACCATACATAATATAAAATTACGAATAACACCTAAAGAAATATATAATACTCGCTAATGAACAGAAAAGCCAGAGAACTTTTTTTAGGCCACCGTATACAAGGTTCAATTGTTCTGTACGTGTACATGTATGGAACAGTATATATCCTGTCTTGTATGTATCTACGTGTCATTTGTAAAAATGTAAATCGCTGCTAAAAAGGAGTACTTGCTTGCATCTAGTTTATGATAATAAAAAAATTCAGTTGCCCATGTATAATAGATGGGAGGGGGCTTAATCACCGCGACCTTACAGATCTATTGTGTCCCCCTTTCTGGAGTTATAGCTCATCATATAGTGGCTTTGACAAGAGCAAGTCATAGATAAAGTAATAGTGTAGACATAGAAAAAATATATGTGTATGTTTTGTGTCTCAAATTGCAGTGAAAAAAGTCACAAAAGTCAAAGTAAAAAAGTAGACGTGGCAACATTGCGACGTGCAACTTTTATAATTTTTCTATAGGTGCGTAGAGAGATATACAGGGTTGTTCACCACATACGACACGGAGTATTGTAGCTAAACGATGAGATTGTAAGTTTTGGGTTCGTTGAAGGACTATTAGAGCTACAATTTCAAAATATTTTTACAAGATACAGAGTGTCCCAAATAAATAAAAAATATCAAAGTTGTATTTTTTTAAATGGAACACCCTGTATATTATTGAATTTTTAGTTTCTACGATTAAAATAAATGTAAATTTGATTAAGGTTTATTACACTTAAACATTACCGTTCTTGAAATATTTTCAATTTTGTAAAATTGCAGTATAAATTTTAACGCTTCATTTCTCCGAGGGTATCAAAGTTTTAATACTAAATTGTACTGAAGTTTATTTATTGACCAGTTATTGTGTTGCAATAATAAAAATTATACTTATACAGAGTGTCTAAAAATTTATTTTAAATAA